GAAGGATAAACAAGGCAATGCTCAATGGACACGGCACTCAAAGGTCCTGGTAGACAGACTGTGGTCAAAACAGTGTAACGATGCCCGGGAACGAAGGAAGTTCTGTACGTGCCACACAGAGAGGAACCCTGAAGATGTTATGCTAATGAATGAGGCAAGCCGGACACGAGAGGACAGTTACTATCCGACTCTACTGACGAGATACCTAAACAGGCAGCTTCACTGTCGCTGCCGGAGGCTGGGGGTTGAGGAGTCAGTGTTGAGCGAGCAGAGCTCCTTTCTGTTTGGGATGATGCAATGCATAGCATGGTAAATGGACATGGACCTGTACCGTACTGACAAATGGCCAGTGTAGTGAGACTCTCGGTGTCTTTAGAAGCCCAGTTATGTGAAGTGAATATGGTTTTGTTTCAATCCCAGGTGTGGGATATGGGGCTGCTTGATACGTTTGGAATTCTGGGGACTCTTGAGAGGGCATAAATATGAACAACCCAGAGGGGCTGTGGCAGCTGCTGCTGGTTCCTGCTGCTGCTTTTGCTAGTTGCTGACTGCTTTTGCTGTCGCTGGTTGAAGGATGTAGTCTAAAGAGGTCTACGCCCTCCTTCCCCTCTAACTTTCTCTCTCGTCTACCTAGTATGGGGGGCAGTTAGAAGAGATTGGGGTGGAAATGGTGGTAGAGATACAAATCCAAATGAAGTAGCCAGAAGCATGGCTACAGGCAAGAGACACAGCACCCAAACCAAAAATGCTACAAAAGAGGGTACAAACAGCATCTGAAGCAATTCTACCAGCTTATTATTCTCTTCAGAATGAGAAGCCAAAAGAATTTGAACCTTACTGTGTCAATAAGTAACATTCCTTAGAGGAGTTATAAATGCTGTTGTTTCTGGCATTTTAGGTGACACACTACAAAATCATGTATTTAATAAGTGAGCGGAGGGGCTGACGGAGACTGGTTGGCAAAGCAGGGGAAGAAAAGATTAGAAAGTCAAAATGAGGCCAGCACAAATACTCTGCCTGAAGCACAGCAAGAAAAGGAGGGGAAGCCAGGCATGGGAGCCCACACCTCCAATCCCAGTGTTCAAGGGGCTGGGCCAGGACCGTCCCTAGCTACAGGCCAGCCTGAGCTACACAGTGAGACTCTGTACTAAAAAACAACAATAATATTAGAAAATAGGGCTGGGAAGATGGCTCGGTTGCAGAGGTGGCCCCAGTAGAGAGTGCCACTACTGGGAGGTGTGGCCTTGAGCAGGGGTGGTTTCCTTGGAGGAAGCGCATCACTAGGGGGTGGGCTTTGAGGTCTCAGAAGCTCCAGCCAGTTCACTAACTGCTCCTGAGGATCCTGACGTAGAATTCTCAGCTCCTTCTCCAGCTCCAGGTCTGCCTTTACACCACCGTGATGACGATGGACTAAACCTCTGAAATGTCAGCAGGTTCCAGTTAAACCTTTTCCTTGCTATTGTCGTGGTGCCTTTTAACTAAGACAATGGCTAAGTAAGGGTACCCCAGGTTCAGTTCCCAGCATGCACATGGCACTCACAACCATCGTAACTCTAGTTTCAAGGGATGACACCCTTTTCTGGCCTCCCTGGGCACCAGGCACACATAAGACATACATGAAGGCAAAATAACCATACACATAAGATAAAATAATAATTAAGAAAAAATTAATTAAGAAAAAAAAAAAACCAAACAGAAAATAGGGGCTCGTGAGTGAAGTCCCTGCTGTGTAAGCGTGAGGACCTGACCCCTGGACCCCTGGCCCTGGTGTGACAGCACCACTGCCTCCGAGGAGAGGCCCAGGGTGTAGACAGGCGCTCCCAAGGGGCTCGCTGTCCAGGCACGCTAACGGACACTCCAGCTCCAGGCTCAAAGGAGCAGAGAGAAATTAGAGAATAAACTCAATGTGACTAATAAATGTTAACGGTATAAGGCAATTGTAACAACATTTTGGGGGGTCTTTAAATGTGTGTTGAATTAAAATACATCTTAACAACAGCCGGAAAGGGTGGAGTGGGAGACGGTTAAGTGAAATTAAAGCGTTGCTTAAAAGTCTTCCTTAGGACCACTGATTTGGTGTAAACATAAGTTATATTTGTCCCATTGTTTTATTTCTCAGAGCTATTGGACTCATTTTGCAGAAACATGTTATTATTAGGTGTATGAAAATAAAACCCATGAGTGTTTTCCGAGTTAAGCTAAAAAAATAACAAAAGCATAATTTTAAACAAATTCCTAGATGTTCAGAAATTGTGAAGCAAAACAGCTCGTGAATCAGATATATTTTGATGAGAATAAGAAAACACTGTGAATTAAATGGGAGTGGAAATACAAGATAATGAACGTGGGCTGGGAGTGATGGCATGTCCTCCGTCACGTCACCTGGGAAACAGGTAAAATTCAAGAGCATTCCTGGCTGCAGAGGGAATGTGAAGCCAGCCTGGGCCACATGAGACTCTGTCGCAAAAACAAACAAGACACAATATATAGGAAGAGGTTGGGGGGAAATGGCTCAGTGGTTAAGAGTAGTTGCTGCTCTTGGAGAGGACCCACATTTGGTTCCCAGCACCTACCTCCTTGGCTCAGAAGTGCCTGCAACTCCAGTTCTGGGGGATCTGCCATCCCCTTCTGGCCTCCTCAGGCACTCACACGCCGCATATACACACAGGCAGGCACTCACACACATGAAATAAACCCTTAGAAAACACAGGGTAAGCTAAAGTAGTGTAACCAGGAAAACCTAGCACAGGGCCTAGTGTGGTGGCACACACCTTTAATCCCAGCACTCAGGAGGCAGAGGCAGGCAGATCTCTGTGAGTTCAAGGCCAGCCTGGTTCTGCATGCTGAGTTCTAAGACAGCCAGGGCTATGTAGAAAGACCCCATCTCAAAAAACAGAAAGGTTTAAAAGCACATTTTAGCAAAATATGTCAAAGCTTATTCATCTAGGTTCTATACCTAGTAGGCAACAAGGACACAAAGTAAATCAAAGAAAACAAAAAAGGGAAAATAACCCCAAGCCATAAAATAATTTCCATTGCTACTTCCTAACTGCAATTTTTCTGCTGTTATGAACCATAATGTAAATATCTGATGGGCAGGACATCTGATACTCGACCACTCTGAAAGGATCATTCGACCCCCAAAGAGGTCACAACCCACAGTTGAGAACCACTGCCCTAGAGCTCTCTCTCAAGGCAGGCTCTGTATGGAGAGGGACTCCAGGAAGCTGAAGGAGCAGAGCTGGAGAGATGGCACCACCGAGCGCCAGCCACTTTCGCAGAGGACCCAAGTCACTACCGGCACCAGGCACCCAACGTGGGGGCTCAGAACCCTCTGTAACTCCGGTTCCAGGGAATCCACTGCCCTCTTCTGGCCTCTGTGGGCACTGATGTTCACCATGCACAGACACACCCATAGATGTAAAAGAAAAAATTTAAAAAGGAGGCTATGGTCACAGTCAGGATGCATCCAGGCTGAACGTGAGCTCAGTGAACGGCCGGGGACCTGGCCCTCCTGTCGGCCTCACCTGTGACTCACATGGTCCACCTTGCTAGGCAGGCAGGCGGCACAAGGGAATATCAGCTCGCTCACAGCAGGCTGCCAGGCCTGCAGGCTGTGCCACAGTGTCCCAGATTTCTGGGGTACCCAGAAGGGCCTTGCTGCCAGTTCCCACGCTCTCGGCGCTGACCCTGGCCAGGGGTAGCATGTGGTCCTGGGGATAGGAACCTAACGGTGCCATGGCCGTTCCCCATTTCACAGGCTACAAAGCACTTCCACTCAGGCAGGCTTCTTGACTGACCCTCCGGGAACCCTCAAGGTAAATGCTGCACCTGTGCTCTGCCGGTGAGGAAAGTGAGGCTCTGAGGGATGAAAGGACTCCCAGGCCCGCTCAGTGTTGACTCTGGAATGCCACCATGGCATAAGAGGCTAAGCACACAGCAAACCCCAACCATAACGCCATAAAGGAAATTCTATCGACACACATAGGCTGTGGTGGGTCCCAAGAGCATCACAGGCCATGGCCTTTTGTCACCACAGAGGCAAGGAAAATTCCCCCTATAAACCTGGCTTTCTGAAAAAAGATGACTCCAAGGCCTGACTTAGAAGCTTCCAGATCTCATTGGTAAGCAGAGGACACATACCCCAAGAGAGAGGAAGCTGGGAGACACAGCCAAGTGACTATGTGTGCCTTCAAATACCACCGTCTACAGCAGCGGTCCTCAACCTTCCTGATGCCGCGGCCCTTCGCTACCGTTCCTCAGGTTGTGGTGCCCAGAAAATGAATCTCCTTGCTACTTCGTAGCTGCAATTTTGCTACAGTTATGAATCGTGATATCAATAGCGGATATGCAGCCTCAAAGGGGTCATGGCCCACAATTGAGAACTGCTGGTCTAGAAACTATGAATGAGGCTGAGAGCAGGAGTTCACCCAGGAATCCCCCCCCCCAAACTAAAGGCAAAGCCTAGAAGCTTCTGGAAAGCTTGTAGCACCTGTACCCCAACCCTACCAGCACCCCGCCGCCACCAGGGCCAAATGACATGTTGCCTAAGGAGGAGAGTTGGCTTCAGTTTCAAGGAAGAGAGATAAACCTACAGGAAATTGGTGGGTGTCATTTCTAGAGACCTTTAAAAAGTGTTTGAGATGAATCCAGACTGAAACCCATTTAAAAGGCTGAGTCACATGGGAGCCGGGAGGACTGTTCTGTGTGGATTAGGCTGGAGGTCAGCCAGTAAACAGAGAGAAGGGACAAGCAGGCCCTTCTCCAGATGGAGAAAGGTAGACAGGAGGGGCCCCAGGGATGGGGCAGCTGCTGCTGCTGCTTCCTAAGTGACTTAGAACGAGGAGGTAGTGGGAGGAGCTGGGAGGTAGCAAGGGCCACATGACTCTTGCCTGCACGAGCCCACAGTACCAGCAGGATCAGCTCCTTACACACTCTGTTCACTGGCACAAACTCCAGGTCCAAGACCTCTCCCAGGCTCCCCCAGCCCTGAGTCTCACCTGCTGCTGGCTCTGCTCCTCCAGGTTCATCTTCACCTCCAGTGACTGGCGGGCCTCCAGGAAGGCCTTGCGGTGCTTGCGGTCTGCCATGTAGTAGGACATGATGCCCACGATGATGGCACACAGGTAGAGGAAGACGTTGGCCAGGATCTAGGTGCCAAGGAGCAGGAGGAAAAGATTAGGACTGATGACTATATATCTTCAGGAAAACGGGGACAGGGAGGTGGGGTGGGCAGGGTCAACCAGAAGTTATCTGGCTCTGAGGATCCAGGCACCTCTGTGATCAACGTTAGAGGCTCCTGAGTGGGCCCTCCCCCATAAATCACCCTCATCAAGACACGGCTGTGGGGCCGGAAGGTGGAAGGCCACAAGGCCTGGATGCAAGCTTCCGAGGCCCGGCAAGAGATGGCTACTCCTCTCCTGCATCATACCACAACCGATCTCCTCTCCGAGAGGTTGAGCATCCCTTGGGTACCCAGCGGTTTAAGCAGCACGCAGGGAACCCTGGCTTACCAGGTGCTGCTGTCAGTATAGCCCACTGCCTGTAAGCCCAGCCCCAGTGCGAGGCTTGGCTGTCAAGAGGCTGTTCTGGAGGCCTGCCCTCTGCGGGCTCTCCTAGGAGACCTGATCCCAATCCTGCCTAGATTTGCAGGCCCAATAGCTCCCTGCTGGAGGGAGCCCTGGATCTGGAGCTGAGTGTCCCCATCACACGTGGTTCCTGGTATTATCAGCCACTCGATGGCTCTGAGCTTTGGTCAATACTGAAGTGGCTGGGCCAGGTACTTGTGTGCTGACGGTCTAGGAGTTCACTGGTCTTAGTGAGCTTTCTCACACAAAGCTGCTTCCTGGTCCAGCTCTACCTCCTTCTCGGGAACCAGCTCCATATCTTTTCTCTCTCTCTTTCTTAGGTTTATTAATTTTTTTCCAGTTTATGCGTATGAGTGTTTTGCCAGCATACATCTGTGTACCATGTGCAGGCATCTGTGTACCATGTGCATGCAGTACCCAGAGAGGCCAGAAGAGGGCATCAGATCCTGTAGAGCTGGAGTTGCAGACAGTTGTGAAGTGCCGTGTGGGTGCTGGGGATTGAATTTAGTAGTCAGTGTTCTTACCCAGTGAGCGCTCTCTCCAGCACCTCTCTACACCTTGAGCTGTCCTTCCCTCCCTGCCCTGTTGCTGAGCTCCTTCAGGGAAGTGGGGACAGCTGCCTCCCACAGAGGTAGGTGTGGCTATCCCCCCTCCCCCACATACACACACAAGATTGGAGTTGAAAAGCAGGATGGAGAGAAAATTAGGAATCAGGGAGAGAAGACTGGCTCATGGTCATACATGGTGGAGTCTGGGGTGAGACAAGATTATGGTGAAGTCAGCACTAGGGTTATAAATAGCTGCTTCAGTGGCTAGATGAGGGGGTGGGTTCTGATTCATTTTCTGGGCTCTCCTGGCGATGCCACGCCCCACGCCCTCAGAGCTGATCACCACCCCCATCCCCTACAGAATGCTCCTGGGGTGAGGGGAGGAGGCGCAGGTAGCTAGCAGCATTGGGTCCAGGGGCAGCTCCGCCACAGGCTTGCTGAATAATGGTTTGGGATGTGGAGTGTATGTCTGAGCTAGACAGAAGTCACGGTGGGTAGATTCCTAAGCTCCTGGGCGGCTGGCACACCATCTAAGCACCTGTGTTGCTTTGGGCTTTGGCAGCCCCAGCTGTCACTATCCAGGGTCAATGCCTTCAGCAACATCCCTGAACCATCTGCTCTCTTGACAGGTCCCTCCCTGTGAGGGGCCCGACTCAGTGGGACAGCAGCCTGACCATCAATCTGAAAGGCTCTGGAGTGTGTCCAGTGAACTGACGTCAATCACACGGATCCTGTCGGGTTCGAGTCTGTCAGGCATGGTGCCCAAGGATCTCCGCCACCCAAAGGCCTCCTCCTGCAGAGCCAAATGGCCTCGGAGTCTGCCCACCCCCAAGCTCACAGAGCCACAGATTGGTCAGGCTGGCTGACAAGGTCAGATGGCGTCCTGTGCTGCCTTTGTGTGCTGCACAGCAGCCCCCAGGGTTGAGGCTCGGTCAGGCTTGTAAGAAAGACACTGCATGTGGAGGTAGCGTCCAGTGTCCACATACTGCTAGGCTGTTTGATCTGTCCTCATCCCTAGCCTCGACCCTGTCTGGTCTTCACTGACCTCACTGCTGAAGTTGGGACTGGGGAAGAAGGTTTGGTCCATCAAGTCCAGGAGGGAGCAAAGAACAAGAGAGGTGGGTGGCAAGACAGGCTTGTCACACTGTCTCCAACCTTGATCACCCAGTCACAGCTGTCTCATCCTTTTTACAACCAGTGTTTGATGCTCATTGGCTCCAAAAAGGCTCTCTGAAGGGGAGGTAGGTTTGCAGGGCCTGTGCATGCCATGCAGGAGACTCCACCCCTACCCCTGTGAATTCACCTATTTCTAACAACTCTAGCAGGAGACCAGCCTTTGGGTCTGCTTTACCTCCCTAAGCCCAGCTGTTCGTTCCTACCCCCCCCCCCCCCCCCCCCCCCCCCCCCCCCCCGCGTCCCTCCCCCCCCCCCCCCCCCCCGTGCCCTCCCTTGCTGGCATAATGGCTGCAGGGCCTGAAAGAAGCCTGGCATTCTGACCTGAGTGATAGGTGCTGGGAGGTTCAGCCAACTCAGCCCCCACATCCATGGCACGAATCCAGCAGGTCTATGCTGCCAAGCCAAGGAAACCTTGGATGAGCCAGGGAAGCAGAAGCTGGCCTTGGGGAAGGAAGGTTCAAGTGTGCATGGGTGGAGCCCTGAGGGTAATGAGGAAAGCCCCAAGTCCACCACCCCACGGTCCCTCAGAGAACCCAGGAAGTGCACCTAGGGAGGAGACCAGGGCAGCAGGGCCTCAGTTTCCTCATCATGTCAACAGTACATCTACTCATAGCACAGGGACACACGTCCTCAGCTTCCTCCCTTTTCCACTCACTGCTGAGGTGACAGGACACTGTTCTGACTTTATAGGAGAATGTGCCAAATCCAAACGAAACTCCAGTTTCCCAAACTCCAAAAAGTAGTCTACATATCCAGAAACGAGCTCAAATTGGACCCCAGCTTTCTGGTGGTGAGATAAAAGCCGGCGTTCCTCGTGAACTTGTGAAACTGCTTCCCATCTGCCCAAAGGAGACATTTCCCTTAGCTCTGACAGAAGGGGCAGATCCTGACATATACCTGTGGCTGCCTATCAGAGCCCATGCTGGCCTCCAGGCCCCTCAGTATCGCAAAGACCTGTTGCACATTTCATAGTTCACACTAGCACCCTAGCCCTTCACACAACCTGTCCTACCCTAAACGCTCTCTAGCTCATGACTCCCCCCCCCCCACCCACACACAGCTACGCCTTACAGCCCAGCTATTCTCACTATTCTCTGCTCACACTCATCTCACCATATTCTCTGCCTCTGGCTATCTGCTTACTCTCTCACCCTTGCCCCCCCCCCCCCCCACACACACACACACACACACACGCACGTGTATTCTGCTCTCTTGTAGTTTTGGTTGTGAACCTTGGCCTTTAATGGCTGAGCCCCCTCCCCAGCTCATGTGTTCCCTTCTCCAGTCTCTTGCTTCCTCCACTATTCTATCCTCCGGCTCTCCCACTTCCCTAGCCCTGGCCATGTTCAGTCTGCTTCTCTCTCTCTCTCCCATAAAAAGCCTTAGCCATACCCTGGAGCAGTCACGTCCGCAGATTCTTCACCGTGCCCCCTTGCACAACAAACGCTATGTTTCCGAGTCAAGACACACTATCCCCTCCCACTCAAAGCTTACTCTGAGTTTCAGACGCCACCCTAATACACTCCATTTACTTACATGTACAACCTCATCTTTCTTCGGAAAGGGCATGTTTCAAACTAAAACTGTCACAAAGATCTCAGCCCCACAAAGCACTAGAGTGTGGGCTGTGCCAGATCTGAAGGAGACTCCAGTTCCCCAAATTCCAAAACGCAGTGCATATATCCAGAAATGAGGGTCTCGGCTCAAGCTGGACTAGAGAAGGACTGCTAAAAGCCTACAGCCAGCATTTCTCAGAAACGTGTGAAATGGGTTTCTGCCAGCCAGAAAGGGCTACTTCCCTTGGCTTATGCCTGTAGTTGCATATCAAAGACCAGGATGGCTTCTAGACCCATTCAGTCCCTTTCACACTTGTTACACATTTCATAGTCCATGCTAGCCTTTCTCACCTCCCCCACTCCTCCACTGTGCAAGCTGCCAGGCTGTTGTAGTTCACTGGGTTCTGTCTTCCCTTTATATAACGGCAGGACTCTCCCCTGACCCTCACTATTCCCTCTCTTGTTATTCTCTGCTGTTCTCGTTTCTCACAATGATATCCGCAGCCATGCTCACTCTGCTTCTTTTTCCTCTCTGCTCTGAACTCTTCTGGATGCCTCTGGATGTTCTATTATCCACAGTAACCATGCACCCTACCCCAAGTCGTACAGCAGCCATCTTGGTGGTTTCTTTGCTGCACCCTCGCTTACAGGCTGCATACATTTTAAGCCCAAACAAAGACATATGTCTGCAGATTTTCCACAGCCTCCAAACACAGCAGGATTCGTGGTCTCCTAAAATGTGAAACATGGAGGTTTTCTCTTTCATATGTACAATATGTCTTGTTAAGGAAGATGGATGTGTCCCCCAAATCATTCTTGGAAAAAGTACTTTTTGCTCTGACAGTGAGCCAGTCCTCTGTTGGTCAGGAGAACAGGTGACTATTATTTGTCCCTGTCCCTCAGGTGGGAGAAGGCCAGGCAGGTGTGGCCTTGAGCAAAGACATGACGATGAGTAAGCAGGCTCGGCTCTAAAACACCTCAGTCGGCACTGCCTCTCACTGCACTCTGAGATTTAGGGAGGGGGCAACCCTCAGGGAAAACTTGAAACCCAGCGAGGATCCAAAACGGACTGAATCACTGTGACAAATGGCTTTCTCAAAATGGGGCCTTGGCAGTCTGGGAGTTTCCTTCTCAGAATTCACTCGCCTCCCTCTAGAGCAGCCTGCCTGCACCCCTCACTTTATCAGCTGTCCACCTGATCAGCTCCTTGTCTGCCCGGAATCCTGGAGCGAAGAAAGAAAGGCAGAAGAAAGAATGAGATGGCTTAGCAGGTAAGAGCACT